ACCATCTAATGTGGTGTCAGTTACCATCTAATGTTGGTGTCAGTTACCATCTAATGTGGGTGTCAGTTACCATCTAATGTGGGTGTCAGTTACCATCTAATGTGCGTGTCAGTTACCATCTAATCTTGGTGTCAGTTACCATCTAATCTTGGTGTCAGTTACCATCTAATCTTGGTGTCAGTTACCATCTAATCTTGGTGTCAGTTACCATCTAATGTGGTGTCAGTTACCATCTAATGTGCGTGTCAGTTACCATCTAATCTTGGTGTCAGTTACCATCTAATCTTGGTGTCAGTTACCATCTAATGTGCGTGTCAGTTACCATCTAATGTGGGTGTCAGTTACCATCTAATGTGGGTGTCAGTTACCATCTAATGTGCGTGTCAGTTACCATCTAATGTGCGTGTCAGTTACCATCTAATCTTGGTGTCAGTTGCCATCTAATGTGCGTGTCAGTTACCATCTAATCTTGGTGTCAGTTACCATCTAATGTGGGTGTCAGTTACCATCTAATGTGCGTGTCAGTTACCATCTAATGTGGGTGTCAGTTACCATCTAATGTGGGTGTCAGTTACCATCTAATGTGGGTGTCAGTTACCATCTAATGTGGGTGTCAGTTACCATCTAATGTGGGTGTCAGTTACCATCTAATCTTGGTGTCAGTTACCATCTAATGTGCGTGTCAGTTACCATCTAATGTGGGTGTCAGTTACCATCTACCATGCCAAAAGAGAACAAAACTCAAGCTCGATTCTAGAGATTCTAAGACCATCTTTAATGTTGTTTTTTAGCTAACATCTCCTGTTCTCTGCTGAGTGTTTTCTGTACCTGCTGAACGGTTCTTGGTCCTCTTTGATGATCTTCCAGGTTTCGCATTTGGATCCTTGCTGTTTTCAGGTCTGATTCCTCTCACTTCTGATGAAGTGATGAACTCAAAGTCCAACCCTTCATCTGGCTCTCGGCTTGGTGCTGGACCCTGAGAGTTTGGCTGAATTTCCTCAAATCCTCTGGGACTTCGGGTTTCACCGTCCACACCAGAGTCCCCCAAAGACTCTAAAATGTCGCTGTGGATCTTCTCTGCAGCATCAGCAGCTTTAGTGGTAGCAGGTTTTTGCAGGTTCTGGATCTCTAGGGTTTCTTCAGGAGCCCCAGCTAATCCGGTATCAGGTCCCGGTTCAGAGTAAGAAGCTTCAGGGATCTCCTGTGTTTCAGATGCCTCCACAGTTAGGTTGGTTTCAGAGGAAGCAGAGCAGAGAGCTGCCTCGGACAGCTGCCCTGAATGGGTAGAGTATTCTGGATTGGAAGGCGGAGCTTCTCTGATGGGGGCCATTCCAGAGGTCATCAGTGATTGGCCGGAAACCAAGGTATCCGGCTCATCCAAGGCCTTCGTCCTTCGCATGGTTGCATGACGCACTGAAAAACAATGAGATGATCAGTTCAGATCTGAACCCCAGAACTAGTGAAGATGCGATTTTAAGGTGTGTCAGAATTTTACTGTTAAGGAAAAAAATCAGGTCAAATTTTGATGCCACAGTCGGGTTAGAGTGGCAACAGTTAAAATCCTGAGCTTAAAATCAGCAATATTATCAGAAAATATTGGCCTGAGTTAAGGTCAGACCATGTGAACATCTGGCTCCATATCTTCTACCTGCTAGTCTCACCTCGGTCTCTGCTGCCCCGTTGGGACCGGGTTCTGGTCTTCCTCAGGGTGTGGCCCTTCCTGATCTCCGCCAGCAGGTTATCAATGATGCAGCCTTCGTCCTTCTGGTTCACCTCCTTCCTGACTGGAAACAAACATCGTTCACCTGCAGACAGACCCTGGTCTCTGATTGGTCCAGGCATTCTCTCAGGTGGAACTCACCTTTCTTGTTGTTAGACTCTCCTTTCAGGTTCTTCTCTTCTGTCTGCTTCCTCTTCCTTTCCCGCTCTCTGCGGCTTTCATTCTCCTGTCAGAGGAGAACACTGCTAGGTTAAACCGTCCTCAGGAGTCTGGAGCTTCTGTGATTGGCTGCTCACCTTGAGAGCTTGGAGGAACAGTCCTCTGAAGGTCCTAATGGTCCCGAAGAGTTCATCCAGGGAGAAGCTGCTGATGTCCTCACACAGGTAGTCGGCCAGGTCCTGCCTGCGCTCCTCAACCACAGACAGGACCTGCTGCAGCTGCTCACAGGACCGCAGGTTCTCCTGCAGGACAAGGAAACGGTTCTGATGCGTTTCTGTTCAGTAGCAGGTGAGGCTCTAAGGGGGCGGAGCCTGCAGAATCACCTGGATGTCCAAAAGGTACTGCTCCTTCAGGTCCTCGGAGGAACAGGAAACTTTCTTCTTGGAGTTTTGGAGCCGTTGGTTCAGAGATCCAGCTTCAGACTTCAAGACCTCCATGTTCACACTGGAGAATCGGAGGAAGAGAAACGATGATCGACTCAGAGAAGAAGTTACTTCCAGGTTCTACATGAAAGTCTGTCTGTCTGTCCAGCCAGAAGATGGAGGGACGGAGAATCAGAGCATCAGAACCGGACCTTTCACTGCTGGAAATACTTTAATCATTAAAGCCCTGAACAATAAAACATTAGTATTTTCCCACGGAAAGCAGGTCCGGTGCTGCTAACTCTGCTCCTCCAGCTGAGCTTGTGCAGAAATGCATCTTTGCGTAGCTTAGCTCAGAGTCTGCGCTCCACTCTGATGGTTCGCTCTCAGCAGTACGGCTCTTCCTGCTCTCGCTACCGTACTTAATAAAATAGATGTGGTTGGATGGATGCAAAAATTCATTCATTTCTACCAAAATGAATCCCTAAATTATTTCCAAAGCAAATATTTCATTGAATTCGGTTTATTTCTGGATAAATTTCCAGATGAAAAGGTTCATAGATCTTTGAATATTTCTCTTTCATTGTTCTCGTTTCTATACATTTCAATATTTTAACATTTTAGTTAATATATTGTTGAAATTTAGGTCTGGGTTTCCATGGAATTACAAGGTAATTATGGAGGTTCGCTCTGTATTATCGGACTCTATGAATTTTCTGTGTTTACTGCAGAATTCATAGCAGATCAGGAAGTGTTTGCTTTGGGATGGAAACCTCTAAAATGGTTCCTTTATTGGACATTTTGTCTGTCTGCTATATTAACCAATAGGATGTGTTCAACTAGATCTGCTATTTTCACAACTTTTATTCAAACATGTAAAGATTAGCTGTTTTATAAACTGAAACATAAAACTGACTAAAACCGACTAAAAATACCTTATTGAGCGGTTTAGATTAAAGCCTGGATGGCCCTTTCAACGAAAAGAAACCTGAGGTTATGGAGCTTGGACCTACTGACTCCTCCGTAGACCTGGACTGCTTAAATAACCTTCCTCCATCCCCCCTCTCTGAGCTTCCCTCCTCGGCCCTGAGGTCAGCAGCTCCTGCAGGAGCCGAGGTTTCAGAGGAAGCTCAGAGGGGCGACAGCCTTCTCTATCTCTGCTCCTCCTTTATGGAAAACCTCCTGCTGCACATTAGGGAGGCTCCAATCATGGTGAAATGAGCTGGGTTCTCTCCTGCTCATGAGCTGCTAGATGCTCCTCTGCTACTTCAGCAACTCCTTGATCAACAACCCTGTTATATTGTGATATTTTAACTTAAAGCTTGTTTCCACATCAGTCCAGAGACAGAAATGTTCATTAAAGTCAACTTAACGAATTATCGGATTCTTTCAGGAACTGCTCCGCTTACCCAGCAGCCTTTTCACAGATCAGAAGGTCATCAGGCAGGTTCAGCAGGTCAGGATAGTCCTCCTCCACCTCCTGTGGATCAAACTAATCTGTCAGCTCATGTCAGATGTGGGCTGGGCCAGCCTGGTTGCACCTTCTGCTCATACCTCCAGGATGTGGTGCAGCAGCGTAATTCTGGACTTGTTGGCCTTAGTTTCCGTCAGTCGGAGCAGCGTCCCAATTTTGAAGCCGTCCGCGTTCCCCGTGTGCGTCCCCTGAGACAGAGACAGACATCATGACCACGGCAGGAAAGCGGCGCAGGCGGAGGTCAGGAGCAGAGCTGGGATGTGAATCCAGGCGGGTTCTGGACTCCAGAGACTCACATAGTTGAGGAAGTTTCCAACACTGAGGATGAGTTTGCAGAAGCTGGGCAGCCGGGTGCTCTCCCTCACACCTGAACACACAAACCATAACAGTGAACATGTGTGGGCTGCAGCCGCGGGCTTCCATCACCACCAGGGGGCGCCGATACTGACTCTGACAGGCTCGGTCCAGCAGCTCCGCTTTGGCTCTCAGTGTCTCCAGCGAACAGCTGCTCTCTTCCATCAGCAACATGCACTCGATCCTTAGCCCGTAGCTGCCACACACACAGGTATCAGCACGGTCTGCATGTCAATCGTCCTGTCATGGTCTCTGCAGCAGCCAGCAGGTGGCGCTGTGGTCTCACCTGGGCACATCCAGCAGCTGCAGGTAGAACTGGTCCACTGAGGCAAGCTTCCCTCTGTCAGCCTGGTGGCTCTTCAGGTTCTCTATCTGAGGATGAGGTAAGAGAGACGATCAGGACCCAGAATAAGAGCCATGCTTCAGGCTTCAGAACAAACAAGCGCCTCTGATGCATGATGGGAGGAACGGCCTGTTCTGCTGCCCTCTAGTGATCAATGGCAGAACGTTGGAGGGAGGCCTCGCTTTCTGAGATCCTCTCAGATGTTTTTAGGTGAGAAAGCAGCCGAGACAGCTGCCTGCAGCCGGTCAATCACAGCAAGCAGCTGCCTGCAGCCGGACAATCACTGCCAGCAGCTGCCTCCAGCCGGACAATCACTGCCAGCAACTGCCTCCAGCTGGACAATCACAGCAAGCTGCAGCCTGCAGCCGGCCAATCACTGCAAGCTGCAGCCTGCAGCCGGCCAATCACTGCCAGCAGCTGCCTGCAGCCGGCCAATCACTGCAAGCTGCTGCCTGCAGCCGGCCAATCACTGCCAGCAGCTGCCTGCAGCCGGCCAATCACTGCCAGCAGCTGCCTGCAGCCAGCCAATCACTGCCAGCAGCTGCCTCCAGCCGGACAATCACAGCAAGCTGCAGCCTGCAGCCGGCCAATCACTGCAAGCTGCAGCCTGCAGCCGGCCAATCACTGCAAGCTGCAGCCTGCAGCCGGCCAATCACTGCAAGCTGCTGCCTGCAGCCGGCCAATCACTGCAAGCTGCAGCCTGCAGCCGGACAATCACAGCAAGCTGCAGCCTGCAGCCGGCCAATCACTGCAAGCTGCTGCCTGCAGCCGGCCAATCACTGCAAGCTGCAGCCTGCAGCCGGCCAATCACTGCAAGCTGCTGCCTGCAGCCGGCCAATCACTGCCAGCAGCTGCCTGCAGCCGGCCAATCACTGCAAGCTGCTGCCTGCAGCCGGCCAATCACTGCCAGCTGCTGCCTGCAGCCGGCCAATCACTGCCAGCAGCTGCCTGCAGCCGGCCAATCACTGCAAGCAGCTGCCTGCAGCCGGCCAATCACTGCCAGCAGCTGCCTGCAGCCGGCCAATCACTGCAAGCTGCTGCCTGCAGCCGGCCAATCACTGCCAGCTGCTGCCTGCAGCCGGCCAATCACTGCAAGCTGCTGCCTGCAGCCGGCCAATCACTGCAAGCTGCTGCCTGCAGCCGGCCAATCACTGCAAGCTGCAGCCTGCAGCCGGCCAATCACTGCCAGCAGCTGCCTGCAGCCGGCCAATCACTGCCAGCAGCTGCCTGCAGCCGGCCAATCACTGCCAGCAGCTGCCTGCAGCCGGCCAATCACTGCAAGCTGCTGCCTGCAGCCGGCCAATCACTGCCAGCTGCTGCCTGCAGCCGGCCAATCACTGCAAGCTGCTGCCTGCAGCCGGCCAATCACTGCAAGCTGCTGCCTGCAGCCGGCCAATCACTGCAAGCTGCTGCCTGCAGCCGGCCAATCACTGCAAGCTGCAGCCTGCAGCCGGCCAATCACTGCCAGCAGCTGCCTGCAGCCGGCCAATCACTGCCAGCAGCTGCCTGCAGCCGGCCAATCACTGCAAGCTGCTGCCTGCAGCCGGCCAATCACTGCCAGCTGCTGCCTGCAGCCGGCCAATCACTGCAAGCTGCTGCCTGCAGCCGGCCAATCACTGCCAGCTGCTGCCTGCAGCCGGCCAATCACTGCAAGCTGCTGCCTGCAGCCGGCCAATCACTGCAAGCTGCTGCCTGCAGCCGACCAATCACTGCATGGAGCTGCCTGCAGCCGGCCAATCGCTGCAAGCAGCTGCCTGCAGCCGGCCAATCGCTGCAAGCTGCTGCCTGCAGCCGGCCAATCACTGCAAGCTGCTGCCTGCAGCCGGCCAATCACTGCAAGCTGCTGCCTGCAGCCGACCAATCACTGCAAGCTGCTGCCTGCAGCCGGCCAATCACTGCAAGCTGCTGCCTGCAGCCGACCAATCACTGCAAGCTGCTGCCTGCAGCCGACCAATCACTGCAAGCTGCTGCCTGCAGCCGGCCAATCACTGCAAGCTGCTGCCTGCAGCCGACCAATCACTGCAAGCTGCTGCCTGCAGCCGACCAATCACTGCAAGCAGCTGCCTGCAGCCGACCAATCACTGCAAGCTGCTGCCTGCAGCCGACCAATCACTGCAAGCTGCTGCCTGCAGCCGACCAATCACTGCAAGCTGCTGCCTGCAGCCGGCCAATCACTGCAAGCTGCTGCCTGCAGCCGACCAATCACTGCAAGCTGCTGCCTGCAGCCGACCAATCACTGCAAGCTGCTGCCTGCAGCCGGCCAATCACTGCAAGCTGCTGCCTGCAGCCGACCAATCACTGCAAGCAGCTGCCTGCAGCCGACCAATCACTGCCAGCACAGGAACATAGAGGCCAGACCTGAGTTAATGAAGGAATCTAAACAGGTTTATCAGCGTTTAATGAGAATCACTGGAATGATGATGATCTGATTTGTCTTCCTTTTCTTTGTATATTAGAAACATCTCCTTCTGGTTTTCTATTCAGTTTATTTCTATAGCTCCAATTCACATCATGTCATCTCAGGTCACTTTCCAGTTCACCAGATCATTCAGTCAGATTGATTCAAAGTTTTCTATCTACGGAAAACCAGCTGATTGCATCGACTCATTGACTCTTCAGCAATCCCTCACACTAAGCATGCTTGTAGCGACAGTGGAGAGGAAAAACTCCCTTTGAACAGGAAGAAACCTCCAGCAGAACCAGGCTCAGTGTGAGCGGCCATCTGCTGAGGCCCACTAGGATAAAACGATCATTTGACAAAGAAACGTTTGACTGCAGCCGTCGTTGGCTGATCCGTCCTCAGGTAGCGAGTTACCTGAGGACTCACCTAATTAGCATGTTTAGAAAACATGCTAATAGAAACGGATGAACGGGTCCCCCCCTTTGGAATGGGGGTCGCTTGGCTTCTTTGTTAGCTTGCAATGCCCCATACCTGTCTATGTCTCTGAAAGGGGGATCGTTAGAGGGAATTGTTGGCCTGGCTTTGGAGAAAAACTGAAGGGATTTTAATGCATTTATATTCTCAGGA